CGTCGGCGGGCGCGGCGCACTCTTCGACCGACTTGAGCACGCCCCACAGCAGGGCGCCGCGCGGTAGCGCCGTCCCGCTCGACAGCGCCGCCGCCTGGACGCGCGAGAGGCGGGTCGAGACCGTCGAGGGAGGCGTCGAGCGGCTGCCGCGGCCGGAGCGAGGCGTGTCGTGGCCCGCGGGCTTGGGCGGCGCGAGGACGACCGCGGGGAGGAGCTCTCCCACCGCGAGCAGCTTGCGCAGGTCGGGCGGGTGCGCCGCCTCGCCGCCGCCCGCGATCTCGGCGTGCAGCTCGTCCGAGAGCTCGAGCCGCTCGAGGAGCCCGAGATGGCCGTCGGGCAGCGAGAGGATGGCGCGGCTCGAGTGGACCTCGCGCACTGCGCAGAGGGCCAGCGTGCCCGGCGTCAGCTCGGACGCCTTGAGCCGCGCCGCCAACGCCGCCGAGGAGCCGCCCAGCCGCGTGCGGAGGGAGCCGACAGCCTCATCGCCGTCCTCGTCCTCCTCCTGATCCTCCGTGAAGAGGGCATCCTCGCGCGCACGAGCGGCCACCTCACGGCGCTCGAGCGCGCTGAGCGCCGAGCCGCCGCCGCGAGGAAAGGGCGCCTCCTCGTCCTCCATCCAGTCGGCAACGGGCTCCGCCGCCGGCTCTGGCGCGGCCGGCTTCTCCTCCGGATCCGCCCGCTTGTCCGGCTTTGCCGGCTTCGCCGCCTTGGCCGCCTTGGCCGCCTTGGCCTTCTTCTTGGGCGGGTCAGCGGCCTCCGAGGACCGCTTGGTCGAGCCCATGATGGTGGTGTCCTCGTGACTGGCACACAGAGCGGCGCCGGAAGAAATCGCGAGTTTCGTCCTCCTCCCATCCCTCTGTGGTCTGCTGTGTGCTTTTTCTTTACCTTATGCTAGGTAGATCTCGTGGCATCATACGCAGAGAGCGCGATTTCTTCCTGCTCCGCCCGCCAACGGCATATACCGCCCCACCCCTCCGCTTGCTCTCCGCCTCCCTCCCGACCAAACTGAATGCCCTCCGCCGAGTCGTCGTGGAAGGACGAGTTTCTCCAGTTCTGCGTCGACTGCGAGGTCCTCCGCTTTGGCGAATTCACGCTCAAGTCGGGCCGCTCGAGCCCCTACTTCTTCAACGCCGGCCTCTTCAACACCGGCGGGCGCATCGCCAAGCTCGGCCGCTTCTACGCGCGCGCGATCGCCGAGGCGGGGCTCGAGTTCGACGTGCTCTTCGGCCCGGCGTACAAGGGCATCCCGCTCGCCACGAGCGCCGCCATCGCGCTCTCCGAGCACCACTCGCTCGACGTGCCCTGCTCGTACAACCGGAAGGAGGCGAAGGACCACGGGGAGGGCGGCTGCATCGTCGGCGCGCCGCTCGCGCAGCAGCGCGTGCTGATCGTCGACGACGTCATCACCGCCGGCACCGCCGCGCGCGAGGCCGCGGGCATCATCACCGCCAACAGCGCCTCGGTCGCCGGCCTGGTGATCGCGCTCGACCGGCAGGAGAAGGGCGCCGGCACGGAGCTGACGGCGGTGCAGCAGGTCGAGAGCTCGCTCGGCGTGCCCGTCGTGCGCGTCGCCACGCTCGCCGACCTGATCCGCTTCCTGGAGTCGAGGCAGCCCGAGCAGGCCGAGCGGCTGCGCGCGCACCAGCAGGCGCAGGGCGAGGCGGCGGCGCCGCCGCCTTGACGCCGCCGCCTTGACGCCGCCGCGGACGTGCACGGCGGCCGGCGGCCGCCTGAGGGACGACTCCGGCCTCCGAGCGAGGCTCGCCCTGCTGTTGAGGTTGCGCTGCTCGAACGCTCCGCCATGCGATAGTACCGGCTCCGCCGAGCGTACCAGGGACACAGTCTGGCTCCACCGAGCGTGGGTGAAGCGATTTTGAATTCTTTCACGGTAGTGTCACCGCGTTGTTGTAAAATTCTTCACGGGGCGCGCCGCGCGCTGCGCGCCTCGATTGCACTCGACTACCCATGGATCCCAGCAAGATCGACCTCGCCGCCGCTGCGCGGGCGGCAGTAGCTCGGCTCAAGGAGCGGGACGGTGGCACCGGCGACAGCTCGGCTTACACTGCCGCCGCCGCGCGACTGGCCGCACTGCAGGAAGCCGCGCCATCTCAGAGACCTGCGGCACTCATTGCGCGTCTCGACCTGTCCACCCTTTGCTGTCGTAGGCGGCGAATCCCGCGGCGCTGCACGCCTCCTGCTCCGCTGCTCCTCCGCCGGCGCCCGGAGTGGGTCTGCCGCACGCCCCGCCTTACCCATCCCAGCCAGCCCCGGTTCAGCTTCAGCAGTACGGTGCGCTACAGCACGTGTCGCAGATGCAGGACGTCTACCTTCAGACGGCGGGCGCGAGCCACCTGCAGACGGCGGGCGGGAGCCACCTGCCCGCCGCTGGCCCGCCGCTGAGCATGCCTCTGCCCGGCTTTGCGGCGGCGGCGTACCCCGGCCTGCAGCCCGTGCCCGAAAAGCAGCGCCCGACGGTGCCGAACGTCCGGTTCGCGCGGAGCCTGATCGGCGCGGCGCTCGGCGACGACAACCGGAAGAAGCGCGCGCGAGAGGCGTCCGAGGAGGAGGCCTCCGCCAACGCGGCGGCGCTGCGCGACAAGGCCAAGGCGAAGGCCGTCGCCGCCGCCGCCGCCATCACGACGCCCATCAGCGCGGAGGAGATCGCCGCCGCGCAGCAGCGGCTCCGCGCGCAGGCGCTCTCGCGCACCATCGAGGCGCGCATCCCTCCCGAGCACCGCGTGCCTGCAAGCGAGCCTGCAGCGGCGGCGGCGGCGGCGGCGGGTGGTGGTGGGAGGGGCGCAGGCCCGGCGGCCTCCCGCTGGGCGCGCAAGGGGATGCGGGTCAAGGTGCTGGGCGGCGCTGCGGAGGGGGGGGGCGGCACCGCGGTGGTGGTTGCGGCGCGCGACCCCGAGTCGCTGCAGCTCAAGCTCGACTCGAGCAAGCAAGTCATCTCGGCGCGCGAGGCGGACCTGCTGCCCACCGAGCCAGAGGCGGGCTGCTTGATCATGGTGGTGGAGGGCGCGCAGGCGGGCCAGGTCGGCGTGGTGGAGAGCGTCTCGCTGGCCGAGCGCACCGCAAACGTGCGCCTGCCGGAGGGGAGCCTCAACTGCTCGCTGCTCGACATCACGCAGTGGGCCCGCGGCTGAGCGGAGAGTTGTGTCGCGACGCTTCGAGTCTGTGAATGACCGCGTGGAGTAGGCGGAGAGCGAGCCCCCAACCGCACGCACGCGCCCTTCCACCATAGTTTGGCGTCTGCAGAGTCTCCAGAGACGCCTATTTTGTTACCGCGAGCATCTTTGCCGCGAGAGAGCACGTACAGAGATACTTTAGCACTTGAATTCTCTAGTTTGCTGCGCGAGCTACGGCTCTACACCACCCCCCCATAGGCTAGTGCCATTTCACTCTGACACGCTAATCTTGAAAACGCTTAGGGGACCCCTAGGCTTAAAAGGGTGGGCCCTGGGGCGCCTGCGGCTTAAACGGCTTAAAACTTGCCATGGCAAGTTTTAAGAGCTGCTGGGCCGCCAATTCCTTAAACGGTCTTAAACGCTTAAACGGTGCGCGGGAGAGCTCCCGAGGTCGATGGTCCGGGAGGCTCCCGGTAGACACACGCCGGAGGCCGGGAAGCTGGCTACAGTCAGCTAGCACGTGTCCCCTATGCGAGTATGGCTCCTGCCAGTGCACCAGACTTGCAGATGTGTCTTCAGAGGCGGGTTTGTGCCTAAAATAACGGCAGTGTGCCTAATAATGGCAGTATTGGAGAAAACGGCGCGGAACCCAGCGACGCGTGCCGGACTTTGTTAAACGGTGGTCTTAAAAGAGGGACCCCCGGTGCCTGCAATCTCTTAAATGGCAAGTTAAGCCCCCAAACCTCCTCGTTTCTTAAAAGGTCTTAAAAAATCCGGCCCTCAGAACCCTAGGGGTCCCCTAAGTGAAAACGTCTCCAACGGAGCTCCGTGTTGCTTCCAGCGCCCTCCCCCGCGCTCCCTGCGGCCATGGCCGATGATCCTAGTATGAGAGGTCATCTGGCTACCGCGAGAGCGACCCAACTCGTCGACATCGTCCGATGATTGTGCCTCAAAGTCAGCCTTCGGAGGCTATCGTGGGGTCGAGCCGGCAGTAGCCGTGACATGTGGTTCCACCACCCCTCGTAGGCTTTGCCTCTGATCGCCACCGTTCCCAGGCTGCCTAATGGGATGGAAAGGAAGGCTCGGCGAGCGTATAGAAGCGTTCTCGACCTCGTCGTGGCAGCCTGCACGGCAGCGCTGGCAGGCGATATGAGCGTCGTGCCACCTGACCCGAGACGGGTCGCAGGCGTCGTACCGAGCGCGTCGAGACCGTGTCCTGATGTGATCTGCACGGGTGAGTCACGTCGGCGTCAAAGGAGCGACGTGCGACCTGTCAGAGCTTGATCTCCGATCTCAGCGGCGTCGAGTCATCTCCGGCGCGCGACAAAGGTACATCCACAGGACGCGCAGAGGCAGCTGCGACCCCGCCGAGTGTTCGAAATTCCTAGTCGGTCGTCTCGTTGCCTTCGTTGCCGACGTAGGCTAGAATGCCGTCGATCGCCGCCTCCGGGATGAGCTTGAGCAAGCCGGGAGAGAGAAGTGGCAGGCCCATCAGGGTGTACATGAGCAACGGTGCGACGCGTGACTCTGCAACCTGCAGCGGTG